GTGTCCGTGTCCGTGTTTCTTAGTGTTTGATTGTCGGTGCTTGAACATCAATATTGAAACACACCCAGGACTGTATTTTTCATAAAAATGTTGAATGTGTAGGATCTGCAGCCTGTTCCTCCACCTGACAAAAATAAGGAAGATATACTTCTGTTTTTTAAGCTTTATGATCCTGAGAAAGAAGAGCTCAGGTAATTTTTAATTTTTCAAAAGTTGCGTATGTGGATACTATCTTCACCTTTAATTGTCTTTTGAATTTTGACCGTGTGATTTAATTTTTTTATTTATTTTCAGGTATGTTGGTAGGTTTTTTGTGAAAAGCTCTAGCAAGCCAATGGAGATCCTGATAAAACTAAATGAATTGGCTGGATTTCCTCCTGATGAAGAGATTGAACTGTTTGAGGTTTGTCTGATCATTACATATATACACAGGCTATGCAACTGTATATTATAGTATGTAGACCATAAACATAAATAATATGCATTCTTTTTAATTGAATTTCATCACATTTGACAATGCTCTTATTTTTCATTTCTGCAGGAAATAAAGTTTGAGCCTACTGTCATGTGTGAACGCCTTGACAGAAGAGCTTCATTTAGGTTTAGCCAGGTATTTAGTGTTGTGCTTTAGTTTTTGCACTTGAAAGTGTTGATCTTTCTTTCTTTGCTTATTAATCTTCTTTTTCCTCTCTCACTTCTCCTAGATTGAAGACGGGGACATCATTTGTTTCCAAAAAAAGCTTCTCCCTGAAGGTGAAGAAAAATTCCGATATCCTGACGTTCCTTCATTTTTGGAATATGTGAAAAATCGCCAGGTCAACCTCGTGCTTCTATAATATTCTTCAAAGTTCTTTTATTTTCCTTTTGATAACTAAAATAATAGATGTGGAGCATTAGCCTTTATCCTCATATATCATATGCATCTAGAAGTTTTCAGTTCTCTAAAATATGGAAAGACAATGATTATTCTGCAACAAAATACTCATAGTTTACTTACTTTCAGTTTACAATTTTTTTTGAAATGTAAATAGTGTGCATGTTAGAGGCATATTGAAAGTTGCTTCTATATCTATGGATGCTCTTTTGTGGGAACATGGACATGTTACTGACAATATAAAGTCCATAAAAAATTCATTCGATTAGTTCCATTATTCAGCCTTGCTGCAGACATATCAGAGAACACCCCATGGGGAGTCGGTTCTTTTCTCTTCCACCCCCCCCCCCCCCCCCCCCCCCCCCCCCCCCCCCCACTCCTCCACCA